TGGTGTATCCCAGGATCCCCAGCCCCCTGTCCATGGAGTGACACTGGTCCATAGCATGCCGGCAACCAGGCCTCACAAACAAAGCCCCATCTGCAGGATGCAGGCAGCATGCAAAACCACGCCCTCTCCAGTCCACAGAAAAAACTTTCTCCATGAAACCGGTCCCTGGTGCCCAAAAGTTTTGGGGTCACTGGTGTATGTGATCATCTGGATAAGCAGCCACTCATGGAAGTAGAAGAGGGAGAGGCAGTGAGGCACAGCAGCAGCCAGTCTATTCCAATGAGGAACAGCTGCCTCCCCTACCCGATTCATGGACGAGGAGAGCAGAGTACCATGAGGCATAGCTGAGATCAGCGAGTCTACTCGCGAGAAAGCAGCTTCAACCCTCCTAATGAGAAGCATCAGGTGGAGAGATTTAAGGGAGTAGAGTGGAGCAGTTGGTTGTCAGAGATAAACATTTGTTTTTCTTCACTATAACATTTCTGGCTCTTTGCTTCATTCCTCTGACTTGATTCAGGTTCAAGGAAGGCTTCGTTACTTCAATCTTGTTCCTGGATTTTGTGCATGAATTGGATTTTTGTAATTAGGCTAACTCTAGCCCATTGTAATTCTGGACTGGTCAAGTTGAATTATTGACAGCCTGTTAAGTGTGTTGGCCGTCTGCTTGGGCATTTCTCCATTCTATGCTCAAGCCTTACTATTTGGGGAGTAGCCATTTTGCCCTTGTTGCCCATGTCTTTGATGTTGGCTGCTATTCTTAGCCAAGCCCTGCTGGCAAGCCTCAGTTTTCAGGCAGGAAGGCATCTGGTCACAGAAGTTGCTGCCTTGAGCGTTGGGATTGTGAGGAAACTGACAGAGGGTTCTTGGGAAATGTTTTAAAGCGTTTAGTTGTGAAATAAACATTTTAAATACTTCTCGAGCGTTAGTTATGTGAACTGGGACAGGACACCATCCAATCTAATCAGAGAGGATGGGAGTGCTTCAGGTCCCAGTGGATGCCTTTGTGGGGCCTAGAAGACATGCCTTTTCTGCTGTAGCATCCATCTTACACAAAATTCTCCCTCTGGAGATCAGGATGTCCCCAACTCTGTTGGCCTTTCATAAGGCCCTTCCTAAAGATCAGGTTCTGTGCCTGGACTTGGGCCCCAGGTGAGTCCAGGGACCAACTTCTTGATTGTGTTAGCAATTTCAGTTGTTACTTCTTAGCTGCCTATATTTTTAATTTTTATAATGTTTGTTGCTGTTTTTTTTAAATTCAGTTTGCCGCCCAAAGTTGAGATGGGCAACCATGTAAATTGGATGGATGGATGGAAAATAGATAGATAGATAGATAGATAGATAGATAGATAGACAGACAGACAGACAGACAGACAGACAGACAGACAGACAGACAGATGTGAGTATAATTAAAATATAAGCATTGAATTGCATTAAGATTCTTGATTTTACCAAGAATCAAAGTTTTGCAGGAGTAATGTACGTACAGAATTTTAAAATATATTTTAAAGCTGTAATATAAAATAATTTATATAGCACTAATATTAATTAAATTCCACAAATGAGGAATACCACATTTGAAACTTCAGATTCCATTTAACTCTTATAGCTATTACACATGACTGTTTTTAATACATCCAAGAATAAAGTAGGAACAGAACCTTAAAGGGCTATAATGCAATAATAAAATAATAAATTAATCGTGTGACAAGAAAAACAAGTGTACAGTTTCATTGGAAACTGGAACAAATAAAGAAATTAGTTTAAGAATTTAAGAAGAATTATTAGGATCAATTGAACCATGGAACCAATTACACAGGTGTTCAGTTCACTTTCATCTGATATGTTTACACAGAGTTAGCCTTCTGTCTGGAATGCTTTAATTTGGATTCCTGTGCTCAGCAGGAATTTAAACACAATGTCCAAAAATAACGCTTTCCAACTTAGATTAGAATAGAATAACTTAATTCAGAATAGAATAACAAAATGTGAATTGTCTAGCTACAATCAGCCTAGGAAGAGATTAGGGTATGAATTTTGAATTTATACCAAAATGATGAAGAGGCAAAAGATAGAGCTGTGTGTTTGTAGCATTCTGAAGAGTAATGTGACACATGTTTTAATGACAAAGAGAATGCCCGGTGTCAAAAGAATGGGAAGTCTGAAAATGGAAGTAGAAGGAGTGGAAGAGATCAGGTCAATAGACAAAGGAAATTATATGGAAATACGTTACATGTCCAAATTGCGTGAGCATCTGTTTGCTGATCAGTGCCTCAGAAATGTAGTCAAACTTTATATGGTGCAGAATGATTAATTGGAATTTCTTACAGTTCAAAATTTGGGCTAACTCCAGGTGACAGTGGAGGACGGGGGGGGGGGGAGGCTTGGCATTCTATGGTCCATGGGGTCACAAAGAGTCAGACACCACTTAGCGACTGAACAACAATAACAGTCCATGGTAAAAAATATCTAGGTCTGTAACTCCTACTTATCTGCTTGTCTTTTTTCTCTATACCCAGACTATTTTTTTAAATATTTGGTCTTTGTTTTCACTGAAGTGTCCTCATTCTTCACAATTGAGTGGAAGTTTATCATAGTTTTCCTCCCTTGCATCACTCTCTTCTTTGTTTTTCCAAATACACTGCTCATATTTATTTATTCTTGTGCAAACTCACTAAAACTTTACTTTTATTAGTAGTTATCTTTATCCCGAATTTTTCATTTTCTATGTTCACTTTTGCAATGAACTCATCTGCATATCAGTATTTCAACTGCCAGCATTTGTTTTTACAATTCTTCTACTCTTATAGGGCATATGTAAAATATATGAGGAGGTATGTAGCTTTGTTTTTTCCTTTATGTATTCTTAAGCATTGTTTTAATTAGTGAAACAACCTTAATTATCTTAGTAATTCTTATTAGGAATGTAGACCTAGTGAACTTGTTGGAATTGAATAAAGATTATTCAAAAACAGACAGTAAAGTTAATAATAATTTTCCTCTATGGATGGAGGTCCACCTTTCACATTTTTCTCTCCCTTCTGAAACTTCTCATATTATCTTCTTCTTTTCTATGTTCATTGACCCCAGCCCTCCTGAACAGAACTTTTAATGAGTCACAAGTAAAATAGAAAATCCACTGAAAGTAGGTTCCCCCTATCAAAGTACGAAGATTCAAATTTATGTGTAGATTTATACAGTGAATATTACTCTAAAACAGAAGCAGTAGCACCACAGTAGTACAAAATTTCAATTCAGTATGTTTAATAAAACCACTGAGCATTTTTCTGTTCTCTTAACTTAAATGAACAATACATATACATTAAATATAGAAGTAGATAGATGTTTTCACACAGTACTATCATCAGTTAACCAACCATAACAAAATATTTTGTATACAGTACATGCAGATTGGAGTAAAGCAAAATTACAGTACTAAAGCAGTAATATACAAGAATTAGATCCAGTTTTCATAATACAATAAAGACAACAAGTTAAAAAGTGGTCTTAAATTAGTCATCAAAGTACATTGTCTACTACATCAAGTGAAAACACAAGTGAAGGGCTTTTTTCTCTTTTTCTTTGTTTGTTTTCTTTATTCTGTATTAATTTGTGTTAGTGTTTTATGTCTTTAAAGCTGTTTATCTGTTTATATCACATGTAAAGGAAAGGCTAGCCACAATATTTATAACAGCTTGTGGGAAAATAAATTATTTTAACTAAATTTTCAATTCATATAAATGGGTCTATTTATAGGTATAATAGTCTGTGAGTGTCATTGACTCTCTGCATACATTAACTTCTCTCTGTGTGTGTCTCTCTCCTCTTTATGAGCTGCACATGATTGAGATCCCCACATGCCTAAAATATTTTACCACAAAATAAAATACTTTTCTAATCTCAGATCTTAAAATTCTATCCTAACTGGACTAACCCATATAGGAAATACAAGATTATGTATTTGTGCTCTCTGTGCAGAGAATATACTCATTTCTCTTTTAAATGTATTTCTGCATGGTTAATATTCAGGATATATATGTTTTTGTTATAAAAGTAGTATATTCGTCCAAGACATCCACATGAATAAATATTAAAACCTTTTGAGGCTAAAGGGCTTCATAATCAAGTTTGTCTTTCAATTTTAGCACAAATCTTTAAATATTATCTAGGGTCATAATGGATTAGATTATCAAACTAACAATAAAGTGTCTTATAGCAGAGCTCTCCAACCTTTCTGGGCTCGTGGACCGGAGGGAAGGAAAGCAGCGTCAAAATTGGTGTGTGTGCTTGGGGCTACGCACACTGGCGTGGCACTAGCAGCCCCGTTTGCACATGCCCTGGCACCATGCACATGCATGAACAGTCGCGCACTCCCCATGGTGGCTAGCAGCTCCGTTCACATATGCACAAAGGGCCACAGACACCTGCGCTTGCTTCTGTGTGCATGTGCAAACGGGGCCGCGACCCATAGGTTGGGGACCCATGTCCTATATAAATAACAAAGGCCAAAGTAATATTTCCTTTTAATTATGTTTTTAATGATAGTATTTTGGTATTTTTGTATTTGTTTTTATCAGGCTGTTAGCCGCCCTGAGTCCGCAAGGAGAAGGGCGGGGTAAAAATTCAAATAATAAAAAAAATAAAAATAAAAAATAATAATAGTGCTTTTTAAAGGCAGTTTAGCTTACTTTTGTTAAATGTTCAAATTTTTCCTCTTGAGCTATGATAAATATTTAAACAGGAGTTCTTTCCAGTACATAACTATTTATTTAATCACCTGAAAATTATTTTAAAACTTACTATTTTCTTCTGCAAAAAAAAAAAGACATAGTAGCGTGGATCTCAGTGAACCAAACAACCCAATTTTGTGCTAAGAAACCATTTATTCTGGAAAGATTCCTAAATTACACAAATTAAAAATATAGAAAAATAAATGGAAGGAAATTAATGGAATGTTATGTTTTTAATTTATTAAACCTTATAAGTATTTTGTAATGAAACTGGGCAGTATAATTTACAGTTTTTACAGTTTCAAGTTTTGTGATGTTGGTTTTAATAATAGTATTTCAATAATACTTTGCCTGTACTATTTTATTTCCCATAATTTGCAATCTGCACACTGTTTCTATTTAGCACACAACGAAAAGTTGCTGGTTGAATATCCCAGTATTTGACAGGGTTCTTGAATAAGCTTATGCCATTATATAATGTTTTCTTCAGCCTTCCTTCTGTTGGACAAAAATCATTCACTCCCACACTTGAAATACTATTTGAGTGAAGAAAGACAACCTATGAGAAGATAAAAAGAAATTTCAGTAATTACCATACAATATTACATTAATTTTTATTAATATAAAATACTTTTGAGTGAAAGACTGTACATGGAAAAATGGTCACCCAATTACTAAGCAAGGTAGTTCCCTTCGCCATAGAGAGGCAGGATGGTTATTTAGCATTATTAGCCCACATTTTTTTTCAGCCCTTTCTTGTTGTGCTTCTTTGCAAAGCACATATTCCTCAGGAATTTGGGATCCACCCCCTTCAGAGATTCATATCTATGTGACCTGGGTTTTTTAATGCCGTTTCTGTGCCATTTGCGAGATTGATTGTGGGTGGTATGGTTCTTGGACTTGGCCATGGCTAAATGTGTCCGCCGAAGTTCAAGCCAAAACCGGAAAAAGCTACCATACTATATGTTTAAATCACAAGTTTGGTATTTGCCAGATAGGGTTAGTAGATTAATGGCACCAGATCAATACAGTACAAATACAAAATGTAGAAGTATTTAGTACAGAATTGAAACAATTAGTAATGAAAACAAGATACTGGCTGACTTGTGCTAGCCATGGATATTGTTAAGAATTTGACAACTGTCTCAGTAAGAGCAAGGGGAAAAAAAAGCCTATTAAGTTGTATATTACCTGTAGATATTTTAGTTCTTGAAGACCAGAAGGTACTTTTTTCAGTTTGTTCTTTTCTAGATGGATTTCTCTAACATTTGGTATATTAGCAAAACTTCCATTTTCCACATCTTTGATTCTGTTGTTTCCCAACCCCAACCTAGTGGTAAATAAAAAATTGAAATAGCAATATATTTTATAATAAAACTTGAAAACTATATAAACCATTTAAAACGGTGTATTTCAGTATTTCATTCTCAAAACTATTTTCTTTCCAATATTCTACTGGGCTGCCAGAGTATTGTTAAATATAACTTGCATCTTTTCATTAACATTCTTCTAGCACCTATTACATTCCTTTAAAGTTATCTTACCTCTTTTAATACAATTTAATCTAATGTATCCATAGTGGTTACATTACACAGTATATCCTTTTTTCCCAAGTTTCTTGAAGGGTATTCTGTTTGACTTCATTCTCTCCATCTGTTATTTATAGACATAGCCCAAACTGCCCAATATATCTATTTAGAAACAGAGGTCACAAGATCTAACCTGCTTCAGAAAAAAAAAAATTCTTCCTGACCTCTCTTAGGTTCAAAGAAAAAAACGAAATTGGCTTCAACAATACAGTATAATGTAGAAATGTATTTATATAAATCAAAGGGAAACAGAAGGCCTCCAAGGAATAGATGTTATTGGAAGTGTTCTTAATAAGAATATAATGTTAAGGAATTATTGTTAGAAAATATTGAATTATTATAATATAGTACAGGGGCAGGCAACCTTGGCTCTTTTATGACTTGTGGACTTCAACTCCATGAGTCATAAAAGAGCCGAGGTTGCCTAACCCTGGTATAGTATTATAATAATACTATTATTATAGTATCAACAATTTTTAAACTTTACTATTTAGCTGCCCTGTTTTTCTATCCATAAGGCACACAGCTGTTAAATCCTTTCCTGAAGGCTAAATGTATTCCCTTGGTAGGGAGCAAAGCAGGAAAAAAGCTTTCTCTTATATCTCCATCAGGAAGCTTCTAAAACAGTTTATCTTTCTGCTGATATTAATGTTAAACATGATAATGTTGATGTAGGTCAGTTGATATTAAGTCCCAAGCCACTGAAATAATAGAAAATACTTGTAGCTCGGGTTTTAGATTTTGGCAAGTGGTTTGCTGTTCAAGCTTGTTTCAATTTAGTTTCTGAACGTTTCATTACCATACTAGATAACATCATCAGCAGGATTTTCTTGTCCAATTTTCCTTAGCTTATAAATGTCTTGTGTACCAGTGTGGTCAGTTGGTCGTGTGGTTGGTTGTTCGTTTGGAGCTATATTTAAATTCTGAGCAGCCTGATTGGGTCTCTTGTTGATTGGTAGGTCAAATGGTCTGGTTTCTTACATACCCATATGCTGGATCATTCTAGAGCAGTGGTTCTCAACCTTTTTAATGCCGCGACCCCAACCGGTCGTACGTCGAGGACTAAACCGGTCGTAAGTTGAGGACTAAACCGGTCGTAAGTCGAGGACTAAACCGGTCGTAAGTCAAGGACTACCCAACCGGTCGTAAGTCGAGGACTTTCCCTGCCCGGGAGCACCGCGCATGCGTGGTTCCGCCTCCTGTGCCGGCCGAGGCATAGCTGGCAAGCGGCAGAGACGGAGCAGGCCGACCACCAGCTGGCCCAGTCCAAGGGAGGTAAGGCACCCACCGGAAAAGGGAAAAAAAATGGCAGACAAAAAAAATGGCAGACAAAAAAATGGCGGACAGCCTTGCTTGGCGACCCCCGTGAAATGGTCGATCGACCACTGTTCTAGAGCAATATGCTTGTTAATTGCTTCTTTGGTAGAATACCAGGCTTCAGTAAATTAATGTGTGTGGCGGGTGTTGGTGTGTCCAATGATTTTTGTTCCTTTCCAATCGAACTGGTGTTGTTTATTATCAATGTGGTTTGAGTTCAGGGATTTTTGGTTGTGCCGTTTAATTGCTAGTTGATGTTCATGAACCCTTGTTTTCAATTGCCTTCCTGTTTGCCCTGCATAGAATTGGTTACAATTGTTGCAATTAATTTTGTATACTCTGTTGCTGTTGTCTTCCTTCAGTATTTTGTCTTTGTAACCAAGTCTATGTGGGACAAACAGGAATTGATTTACCATGATCAAACCAGAACATAAGAAAAATTGCAGTTTGCATTAGAAATAGTTGGGCAAGTGCCCTTTAACAGGTGGTGCAACCCCATCCTAAAATAAGCTGTCCTCTGGTTTTCCACATAGCAACAGCATCTCAGTCTATGAGGATTTCATCTTAAATTGTTCCCTTATATAATATTACTGAGCCTAAGGAACAGTCAGAGAAATTGACTGCTTTCTCTTTACCACGTCTACAGACGAGATCAGCAGTGCTAAATGTTATCAGCATACTAGTGGCAACGCATTCAAAGCTTAAGTTCTACCTTTGAATATTTTTATATCGAATGAAATCTTCAAGTTCAATTGCAGAGATTTTGTTGTCATCTAGGTGAAGTTCCAGTAGACTGGATGGTAGCCCTATTAAAAGTGGAAATATGTATCTTGATAAGTTAAACATTAAAAATTAAGCATTAATATATTAGATATATGGAGATCAATGTGGTAATATCAAATATTTTATGGCAGCTATAATTATTTTAGGAATGCACAGTCACGATGAGCAATGAGGCTTATCTTGTTCAAACACATATTTCAGGAATTAAAATTGCATATACTGCTGAATTGGAACAGGACCATATCCTCTGGGTTGTTTCACAAGAAGGAAGATCATGACATCACATGTGTATAGGTGTCCCACTGCATGTCAATTTAGAATACCATCTTATGCCACAATAAACTATTGACCTACTTATTTCTTTATTTTCTTTTTTTTTTTAATTTCAATTTTTTTCGTTTTTATTTAAAGCTTTAAAACACAAACTCCAAAAATGGGAAAAAACAAGAAGAAATAAAAAAGTAAAACAAAATTAGACAAGATTACACAAACAGAAAAATTGTGCGTAAACAAACAAATATATACATAAAATGACCGCCTTGGTAAATACTGATAAATATATTTCAGAAATAATATCCCCCCTTGCAAAGCAAGCACACAATTTATAAATTTCTACACCACTGTTTACCTGACCAACGTGGCCTGACATCTATGTACTACATAGAAAAAAAGCATAGCTAACAGGTAAAACTAAGAGCAGAATTAAACTTCAAAGCCCTCCGTTAACAGTCTATTATTGTATTTAATTCATAGAAAGTCTACTTTATTTTCATGATGATAAAACTTGCATATTCAGGTTTGAATTAGTACTTCCTAAAATCTGGGAAATAGATCGGTAAATTGAGTGCAGTTTGTTAGCAGTTGGTAGCAACATCTCCTTTTCTTTTCTAGTTACATTTGAGAAAAGTATTGCCATTTATGTCTACGGAGATTCTCAGTCATCCAGGTCATACTTTGGGAAGCACCTTTGGGGACAACCATGACCTGGATGATTGAGAATCTCCATAGACATTTATGGGATGAACACCCTTCAAATGGTAAGGGAATATGAATGGATTTCCAGAAAACATTGCAGACTACCGGAACCATTTCTGCTTCAGTTTGAGATGCAGACAACACAGACTCATCTCCAATAGCCTGCTCTTTCTTCAACAGTGAAGGGACACAGGGCAGAAAACATCCTGCAGCCAAGAAGGCTCCACACACATTTGCACCACTCAGGTGACCCTAAGGACACAGGTAAACCTCCAAATGGCTTCAATGACTCTCTTAAAGAATGCAAATGACCGGCTGTCTGCAAGGAATGTAAATCCTTCTATTCCCCACCATCTAGTCAGGGCTGAAGAAGCTTCGTGGATGAGAAGGTAAACATCTTCAAAGAAAAACAAGAAAGTCCAGTTGCCTCCTGAAAAAAAGCACCTTTGGGATATTGCCATTTATTCTGACTATTTCAAAGGAAATTGTAGTAACAATTTTTATGAGTGCTAAAAATGCACAGGTTGTGCAGAACCAAACCCAAATCTGCATAGCTTATGGAAAATGGTAAGTGTATCAGTATTTTTGTGCTAGCCTCATGTTGATCTGAGAAATAGTTTTCCAAATTAAATATAAGGCACATTTGTTATTTTAGATCTGTTGGCCAATATGCACAACAAAATCTTGTGGCATCTTAAAACTAACAAACGCCCCACCACATAAAATTAAAGAGATGGAGGCATTAAGTTAAGTTTTAAAATGATACTGCTTATTATATTCATGTATCTGTTTTCTATGTTACACTATGATCTAAAGCATGCCTTTGGTTTCCATTATGGTCTAGGAAAATATTAGCTCTCCAATGATTTCATCTTGGCAGCATTATTATGAAATGCCAAAAAACAGTTTCTTCTTGTTGGTTTCCAATTCTACCTTTATTTTTCTAATTTATGTATGTGCATTTCTGTTTATTAGATTCATAAATTAGTCACTAATACATGTTAGCCTTTGAGATTCATTTACAAATTACCCAAAATACAGTAATTTAATTTTTTACACAGATGAGGAAATTAACCTCTTGTTAATCATAGTGGTTTGCCAGCTTAATGGTTATGTGGATTAGGAACCATACTTTGTTTAATTGCTGCTCTCATGAAGTCTTTTTATTGACCATCATAGATATTGATGCTTAGAAAGTCACTTGGCTCTGGCTTTCCTATCAAATGCAATTTGTTGGTGTACATCTCAAAGGAGAATACTACTTCTTGAGTAGGAATGATAGATTCCAAACAGGTATGGACTATGTTTCTCCTTGTGGCACATATCAGTAATTTGCAAGTTTAAGATGGTCAATTTAACAAATAACTTGCTATTTGGCGTACCTAGATGTTGCCTCCAGCTCTAACAAGTGTTATTTCTGGATTGGGTTCTAGCATAAAACAATATGCTTCCCTTTGCTTCTATCAGACAGATGAATTGTACAGCTTATATATTTGCCTTGATCACAAGTATTGCATAGCTACATCCTCAACCATTGGACAATTATTTTTTGTAACATAGGTGCTTTAAATCTGGATTGGTGGTTTGTTTCTTTTACTGTTTGCTTAGTTGTATAGATATTTTTTTCTTTCCAAGAATGGAATTGATGTGCTCCCAAGCTTCTGGATCCCATTTTCAGAAATTATTTAATTCTTACAATATGTCATTATACAAGTTAGTTATAGTTATTTTAACTGAAATACATATTAATATCAAATTTAAAATATAGTTTATAAAAAAAGTTTATATTTTTTTAAAAAGCCAAATACATTATACCTTTTGGTATAGATGTTAATTTTGCTTCTGCTATCCTTATATGATAGATTGTCACACCTTCAAAAGCTCCAGGTTCTATCCCATCATTATCAAGAGGATTTGCACTCATTTCTGTCAAAAGAGAGCACATTCTATTAGTTGGAAGTACAAGAGATTTTCAAATCCCCCCCCCACCCCATTAGGATTTTTATAGTTCCAGTAAAAGAGTACAGTGATTTATTCCTTATAATCTGTTAAACTTTATATGAATTAAGGGAATGGCTTTATAAGAAGATGTAGGAAACTTACTAACACCTCTAATTTATAAAGTAAGTTGTGTCATATAGCATAAATTCATGAACAGATTCATTTTTGGAGGAACATACACATGATAAACTAAAAACCTTTATGGGATTCGAACCTAGGCAGCCTACATGCTTGACTTGGCTGACAAAGAGGGGAGGAGAGCTGGTGGCCTGGTGGTTAATAGCATGTAGGCTGTCTAGGTTCGAATCCCATAAAGGATATGGCTAGCTGATGAGGGCTAATGAGCCTGAAATAGCTATACTAGTCTCCCACTTAATTTTGTAACTCTTTGTCAGCAAAAAAGAAATCTGAATTTGTAATGTATCGCAGTAGCGACTTGAGCCTGCTTAATGCCCCTAGTATGGGGGGCTGCAAGGCAAAAGTGATTATAAAAAAATAGAACTGCAGTATAGCAGTCAAAAAAATGCCAAGGTGCAATCAATCAGACTGATCTGTCTGAAAAACTTTCTATGTATGTATATGTATATATATACATATGTGTGTGTGTGTGTGTGTGTGTGTGTGTATATATATATATATATATATATATAATGTGAAATAAATAAATACATACATACATACATACATACATACATATGCATATATCTCAAAACCAATCAAAAATATTTGCTAAGGACAGAGACAAACAATGAGTTGGACTCTCAAGCCTGTTTCTATATAGGCTATTACCAAACAAGATCTTTCCACATATTCAGTTCCAGTAAACAAATGATTATTTGTTTTCTTTCAATTCCAGGAGGTAGCTTTTTTTTTTTTAAACTATGCAGCACAGAAAAATTGGAACCTATGTTTTATCTGTGAAGTTTGAACTAAAAGATAAGCATTCATTATTTTAAACGAGAACTTTTTTGTATGAGTGTTTCATTTATTTTTGGCTTAATATGATCTCAAAAAATAGAAATTACGGCAAGCAGACTATAAATTACATATATCACATTAAGCTCCCAAACCTTGAAGTGTGGCTTTGTTATGATATTTGAAGCAGATTAATTTGTTTGCCTTCTTTTGTCCCAAGGTCACATTGTTTTGATGATAGAAGAAGCTCAATACTCCTATTCAGCTTTAAATAAAAATTACAAACCTCAATCTCCCATAAAATTATTAAACCTAGACAATCTTACAAAATAGAACATTATTTCACAAAAGAGGTTTCTAGAAATTTTGAAATAAGGAGGCAAGATTTTCCATTGAAATGTTACACAACTGTTCGTTTGTGTCCACATTTATACTGTATGATGTAGTGGTCTACCTTAGCTTTGAGTGATTATTTTACTCAATTACAATCCATGTATCAGAATTCCATAACTTTTCTGTCCTAGTAATGACATTTTGGCTTTCCATAGAAAATGTCATGAAGATTGTAAGCAAACCTTTGCATGATAATTTGAACCTGGGAAAAATGAAATTCTGATGCCCGCTCTCAAAAGAATATCTATCTATCTATCTATCTATCTATCTATCTATCTATCTATCTATCTATCTATCTATCTATCTATCTATCTATCTATCTATCTATCTATCTATCTATCTATCTATCTATCTATTTCCAAGAAATGAAGCTTTTAGCATGTTACTGAGAATATTATAATGAAGCCAATGTTTTTTATTATGTTGATGGGCTGAATGATATAAATAATTTGTAAATCCTTTGTCACAGGTATCACATATTTAAAAAAATGTATAAATATATAAATTTCCCTCTTCATCATGCAGACAGTTCTCTTGCTATCCACCAACAAGCATTACCTCTCTTACAGTTTAGTTTGTTCGTTCTAAGTTCCTCATCTAATGATTTATTTATTAATTAATTTTGTTCCCTGCCCATCTCCCTGTGATTCTGGGGGGGTTCACAAAGTAACCTCCCCCCCCCACGCCACTATTATGCAGCAGATTTTAAAAAATAATACACTTACCTAAAACATGTAAAGACTTCATTCCCTTAAATATGTCTTTATGAATCTTTTTAACTTTGTTGTCATGAATTCTTATCTCAGCTAAACTTCTTGGCAGATTTTCTGGGATCTGAGTTAAATGATTATGAGACAAGTAGAGACGCCGCAGCTTCTTCGTTGATTGGAATGCTTTAGGATGGATCTTTGTTATTTTGTTGTTGTTCAAGGCAAGCGCCTAATCAAAATATGAGCTTAACGTTAGGCACTGATTTTATTTTAAAGCTCTCGCTTAAAAGGGTAGTATGATATTCTTTAAATGAAAATATATTATTTTTGGTTTTTTTTAAAGTATTCAAACTTTTTTGCAAGCCATAAAGCTCCAACATGAAATTGTTTATGTATGATTTGAAGAAAGCACAAATAACATGGAAAGGAAGTCACTAAAGACTTCCCAAATTAAATTAAATTAAATTCTAATATTACACATAAAATTTTCTCTTTTGTTTTCACTATAGATTAATAAAATGATCACACATTAATCAATTTTGAAAATGTTATTAGTATAGATCAAATTACTGATTTTCCAAAAGAATTATCTTTATCTCTTTGAACATCAATTTATATTATTTTTATGCTGTTGCTCAGCAAATACACATACATGGATGGATAGATAGACAGACAGACAGACAGACAGACAGACAAAATGAAGCATCCTGAGAGGAAGTTCAGAAAATAAGCTTACATATAGGAATGAAAGTCCTTTAAAATCATTTTCCTTGATCTCTTTTATTTTGTTGTTTTGAAGATCTATCATACGAGTATCTAATGGAATATTCCTTGGTACAGAAGTCAAGCCTATTTATAAGAAGAAAAATAAAATATGAATATTTATTTATTAAAAATATTTCTGTGCTTTGCAATGAAAGGGGACTCTTGGTGCCTTTTATAGAATGCATACAGATTAAAACATCCACAGTAGCCATAAAAACATTAAAAAAAATACAAATGAAATAAAGATGGCAACATTCACATCAGGGGAAAATTGTCTGAAACAATCTGGTCTTCAAGAGCTTCCAAAAGGCCAACAAGGAGAGAGCCATTCTTTTTACCATGGTCAGGCTGTTCCACAGTGTTGGCTCTCTACAAAGAAGCATTATGGCCAAGCCTCTTGAAAGTATACAACTGCATTAGTTTCATTCTAGTAGCTCCAATTGGTCAGCATGATACTTACAGGAGTAGGCAGTCCTGAAGGTACCTAGGTGCTAAGCTATAAAGGGCTTTATAAGTCAACTTCCAGCACCTTAAATAGGACCCAATTGGCAAACAATGCAGGATCCGTAGCATGCTCCCAATGCTGGAACTGGAAAAGGAGGCAGCTTCTTCATTTTGGCCTAATTGTAGTTTCTTTAAATGTAGTCCCAAGCAGAGTGCATTACGATTGTCTAACTGTTTGGTGATAAGAGCATGAGTTACAGTAGCTAGTCCTATCTCTGCTCCACCCACTGGCATGGCTGCTGAAGCTGGGCATAGACCCCTCTGGAGTTCAGAAGCAGTCCCAAGTTGTGAACCTACTCCCTGATAGGTAGTGCTTACCCATCTAACTATGACAAAGGACCTTGATGGATCAAAAGTAACCCCAAACTGGCAGGGTTCAATTTCAGTTTGTTTGACAACCTCTAGACAGCGGTTAAGGTTAATAACAGCTCTCCCACACGTCAGATGGCAAAATACAATTTGGTATCATCAGGATATTGAAGATATCCATCTCTAAACTGTTGAATAATGTCTTTTTTATTCACAATAGATAATTTTACTAATAACTTCATATAGCAGTTAAAAAGCAGTAGAGACAAGACAAACCCTGTGGTGTTCCACAAATCAGGGGCCGTTGGGATCTCTCTTCTCCCACCAACTAAGGAAGGATAGTTAAAACAATATTCCTCTCCTTAACCCAAAAGGGAACCATGGTTGATGGTATCAAAAGCTGTTGAGATATAATACCGTGTTTCTCTGAAAGTAAGCCCTAGCTTGATTTTTGGAGGGTGGGCCTAATATAAGGCCTACCCCAAAAATAAGCCCTAATTTTGGGGCAAGGCACACACCTAAAAGTGGGGCCCCGCACCCACTTACCTTGCAGCCAGGCCTCTCTTTGCCAACCCAGTTCCATAGCTCGATTCGCAAGATCTCTGCAGCCAAGAACCGAATTATGGATTGAATCCATAGCTCTGTTCTTGGCTGCAGAGGCCCTCCGGAAAGCCCTCTGACTGCGAAATGCAGGCCAGAGCTCCATTCTCAGCTGCAAAATGAAGCTGCTCCTTTGACCACAGAAAAAGTGGGCCAGCTGGGCAGGGCTGTCAGTGCCAGAGGTTAGTGGAAATGACACCCCCCCTGAAAATAAGACCTGGTGCCTCTTTTGGAGGCAAAAGAAAAATAAGACCAGGTCTTATTTTCGGGGAAACACGATAAGACCAGGATGGGTATACCTCCTCCATCCAAGTCACAAACCAGGTAATCTAGAAGTTTGACCAATAGTACCTGTGTCCCACAATCAGGCCTAAACTCTGATTGGACTGAAGACTGAAAAGGGTCAAGATAATCCTTTTTTTAGGATAATGCAAAGTCAATTCATCCCAACCATTTCAACAACTGTCAAGCCCAAGCAATAGATCAACACAACTACTTTATTGTAATTCTACCTATAGTACAGAAATCTACCCAGACTGCTTGTCTTCTTTTGGGAATAGACAGATAAGATTCCCTGGAGGGGGGTGGGTTGTTCGTGTTGGATCTCTTGTGGCTGTGCAGTGATTCAAGGTTAACTGTCCACTTGACTTCTCCTCCCGCTGGCTGGGTATTTCCCACCATCAACTTTCCTTTAAAAGGTTTAAGTAATTCTTTAACACCATTACGCTCAAAGATACCTACAGCACATCACATCATATTACATCGAGGTTGCCAGAAGCTCTCACAAGTTCCTGGACTCAAATTGTCACTTCCCTCATCTGCTTCTCATATAAGCTGAGAGGGGCAAGGGTTCAACTGATTGTAAAGGCAACTAAGACAGCCTCTTATCCATTTCCTTGGAGATCACAAACAAAATGAAATACCAGATATCAGGACAAGGCAATGCCCCAGTTAATACCAAGAGGAGAAGTAAATATGTTTCATCTTTCTTATTACCATAATGTCGGCCTGAACATAAGCACATATTCAGGCTGAGTTAGATTCTGGACTTTCTCCAGCATCTTCCAGATATTGTTTGTGGCACTTCACCTCCCAGTTGACTTTGGTAAACTAAAGTGCCGGACATGATTGGACTCTAGAAAGAGGCTGCTCAGAGGCAGTAGTATCCAGTGCCTGGTTCACTGCCTGGGACTGAGCAAAAGTACCCATCAGGGAACTGGAGAAATCCTAAAACGCTCTTTGAAAACTAATAGAATATATCAGGCTTGTATCTGTACACACAAATCCATATTATATGACACATAATATTAGTGTTTAGTAGCATGTTGGTAAGCTTGAGAAAAAAAACTTCTGAATTTTCACTATGTGCAGGGCAGTTTCTATTTGTCACACAGCCACCTCCTGTCTTTCCCCAGACCAATCCCGATCAGTGTTAGGTTGAATAACAGGCAGCAAATGGAATATGATCTGGGCTTATGTGAGCATGGCAAACGGAATGTTCAAAAGAGACAGGGGCATGGACATCATCTGCTGTTTTCCAGGATCTCTCCAATCCCTTCCAATGAATCTGATTCCCCAGACTGCCCCTTTTGCACCAAGAATTCCAAATATGCGCCCTCTCAAATAAAAGAGAATATTTGTACATCAGGATTGAACTGTGGAGCCTTGGTAATCTCTGAGCTTGGTTGTTTTCTTGCAGATGTTTCAATATCCAACTAGTAACAATGTCAGTGCTAGAAGGGACTGGGATTTGCTCTGTTTATATATAGTGGCTTGCCCTGTCAGTATTGGTCAAAGTATTGTTTCCTTCTTGGTAGTTCCTTGATTTGGCTATTGTTTACAGCTGTTTATCTGAATTTATAGTTCCTTGATTAAGGTATTATTTATTGCTAGATAGTTAGCTTGGTATTAAACCTGGTGCTAATCCCTGGGTGTTGATTGCTGGTGAGAATGAGTTTTGGTCTGTTTGTTTCCTTTTTAGATTTTGATTATCTCTTTTAAATGGTGTATAAATGTTGTTGATTTCTATGTGCCTGTTGATGACGGATTTGTCTTGAGGGTCATTTTTGAAGTTAAAACAACTATATTTTCAATGTGACTAGAAGCAAAGGTACAAAAGAGCCAATGTAATCTTGGGCTACCTTAATACAGGTCACCACGATGTAAAAAAGATGCTGAGACTCTAGAAAGAGTACAGAGAAGAGCAACAAAGATGATTAGGAGACCGGAGGCTAAAACATATGAGGAACAGTTGCTGGAATTGGGTATGTCTAGTTTAACGAAGAGAAGGATGAGGGGGGACATGATAGCAGTGTTCCAGTATCTCAGGGGCTGCCACAAAGAAGAGGGAGTCAAGCTGTTCTCCAAAGCGCCTGAGGGCAGGACAAGAAGCAACGGATGGAAACTAATCAAGGAGAGAAGCAACCTAGAACTAAGGAGAAACTTCCTGACAGTTAGAACATTTAACCAATGGAACAACCTGCCTCCAGAAGCGGTGAATGCTCCAACACTGGAAGTTTTTAAGAAGAGACTGGACAGCCACCTGTCCGAAATGGTGTAGGGTTTCCTGCCTGAACAGGGGGTTGGACTCGAAGACCTCCAAGGTCCCTTCCAACTTTATTATTATTATTATTATTATTATTATTATTATTATTATTATTATTATTATTAGTAGTAGTAGTAGTAGTAGTAGTAGTAGTAGTAGTAGTAGTAGTAGTATAATGTCAACTTTATGAAAAATTACTGTTCCCTTCTACAGCATGTTACACTGGTCAAATTGCACCTGAGATTTAATTTAGTAACAATGCAAACTTTCTGCAAATGCACTAAGACATTAGAAATTAGGGGAAGAGGTTGGCTATCCCTAATGGGCTACAGAATTTAGGAGTCACTAAACATGGGCCACTGGCTTTCCTTAACAAATATAGGAGCACTGATGAGGAGGAACAAGGCAGGTAAAGTCTTTCTACAAATACTCATCAATCAACTCTCTTTAGCTACAGGATTCACCCTTTGACTTGGGGTAGTGATCTGTTATGGAAACTCATAGTGCAATCAGAATTGGGGTGTGGGGGAGAGTCTGTACTTCTATTACCTAAACAACATCAGTAAACTCAGCATATTTGGCAGGCAGTGCAGAAAGGACTTCTTGCTGTAAGATGGTGAGAGCAAGAGACTGGTAGCATTACACATTATGAAATTTGCATGATAGAAAATCAACTGTTATAGTTCCTTGGTTTCAGTGAATATGTGGCTTGTGAGCTTGCAATCTGCCCAACCCTAATTTCTTGGGAAAAGTAACAGGAAAATTAGGTTAAGTTTCAGAAATTCCTCATGGTTGCATATGATGAATCATGGCACTCTTTGATGGGCCCTGTGTGTAAGTGCGGGTCATAAATAGTTTCAGCTTTTGTAGGGGGGGAGGGTTGCAGAATGAGTGACCTTATTGATATGCAGCATTAAATTTCTTGTATAACCAGAAACTATTAAGGCTTGCAGCTGTACTCAGGCCCTGTCTGGATTTGCAGAGTGACAAAAGTAATTAAAATGTAAAGTGCACTTGTCTTACAGTCTGAGTGTTCTAGCCTCTGAATTCTCAAACGTTGGGACTGAATAATTTCCACGTTAATATTTGAGTTATCTGCTTATAACACACTGCCAACTATAACATTTAACTGATGCTTTGTCAGAAAGGGAGCACTTCCATGCAAATATTTCCCATATATACATAGACCTTATGCATGTTGGTGCTAGGAGAGATTTTGGGGAGGCTGAAAAAGGAATGGAATATTAGACATACTCAAGAGATAGAATTTAAGACAAACGTCAATTTATCTTATAAATGGCAACTTTATCCAGATGACAAGAAAGAATTCAAAGGCATCTCATTTTTCTTAACTCACTATCAATGAGTGAAAATTTTCTCTCATATTTTCCAACAGTCTGTATGTAAACATTAAAAATACCTAACTGAATTCTGTGTAATTCTTGCGTTCTTAATTTTGCCCAACTATGTGGGGCCTTTTTCTCCATTCACTCTCTGCCATAATCTACTGTCCATACCCAAGTAGACTTTAATTAATACATAAAGTTGCTAGAGTTCTGTGATGAGTGAATCTGTCCCATTTAAACTGGCCAGTCAGGGTTTTTTTTTCATTCCACTCCGTATCTTGAACTAACAACTGAAAATCAGCAATATGCTCTCCCACAGATAATGCACTCCATCACAGGTAAAGAAGCAATTTAGTCAAATCATCAAAACTAGCTTTCTTGAATTTTACACAATTGACATTTTTGTTAACTCCACATTGTTCTGTAGCAAAAGGAGAAGTTGCCCATTTTGGTCACCTAAAGGCAACAGGCCAATTATTGCTCATATTCAAGATCAATTGATGGGGAAATCTTTAAAGCTTAAGATGGGTATTGAAATAGTATTACTACATCTCTGGACTTTCTTCTCAAGAAACTGAAAAAAACTGCTAATTTCAAATTTTTACATCATCAATGTAGGTGCATAGGTGTAGCTTCAACGATAATTATCCTTACCTAAATCAGAACAGTGGACAACTCTTAAATAGCATTGACACCCAAAGGGACAGACTGGAAATATGTCAACTGGTATCAAGGGTGCTCTGGTAGGAAAAAGGGAATTGTCATCTTTATCATCATCGTCAACATCATCATTGTCATCATCATCATCATCATCATCATCCAGATCTTCCATATCCATGAGCATTATATTCTTAAAGGTGAAGTATGAAGGCTTTTGGAAGGGCTTAGCAGAACTTAAGGCCACAAGAAGCAGAAGTATATATTCCTTCATATTTGTAGAATGCAGACTCCTAAAATAAAATACAATGAGTACCAAACAGAAAAATACCATTATTGATCTTGTAATTTCAGAAATATTAAAAATTGCCACACATAAACATCTAGAATGTAAATATTAATTCATCTGTTGAGATTTTACCTGAGAACTAAGGTGGCTAAAATGTTTTATTTCTGCAAATTATATGGAACACTAAAATTCTCTTAGAAACGTAACTTTTGAAATGAAAAGGATTTGATTGTTGCAGAGTACAGTACAGAGTACAGTCTGTATTGCCAAAATGATCAGTTTGGCCTTTAGAAATGAAATATTGTAGAAACCTGGATGGGGAATAAGGCTACTAAGTTACAAAAGCTTAGAAAAGCTTGGAGCGGTTCCTATCCCAATCAGAGTCCAGTCTGTTGTGTATATAAAGAAGCACATAGCTGAAAGATAATTGAACGGGGGCCCAGTTGTAAACTATAATCATTCCCCCCAGCAATTCTCCCAGAACACCATCTACTTACATAGTTTAGTTTACAGGGTACCAAAGGCAGAATATAATTCTACAATACTTATAGATCTATCTCTTTATAAACTGCTCATAAAGAGAGCATAGAATTTTTCCAAGTATTAGTGTTAGATTGATTTGTTTGTGGTTTTTCCATCTCTTCATTTCCTCCCCCCTCCAAATATTCCAAAACAGGAATATTTGTCTATTTCAGTCACCTGGCATTTTGCCATTCTACATAACTTATTAAAAGCTAATAGATTAAAGTACTTAGACTATCAGCTAGTTCCTTCAGGGATCTAAGATGCATGTAACCTGGATATTTTGTACAAAACTAGAGAGTTTTCATTATTGGACAATATAGAAATGTAGCTAAATAAAGTCATGGAGAACAGAAAATACTTCATCCAAGTCATAACAGATAAAGATAAAATGATTGCATAATAGTCCAATACATATGATTTCTCAGTAATCTGAATATGAGCTTTAAATTAAGGTGATAAATAATTAAGATGTAATTATTTAAAATAAATAGAATAGCGGTTTGATTGTTGGAACAAAAGAGATTACATTAAATTTTCTCTAACTTGATAAGCAATGTAATTCTGTGTTCTCTATAATTTGGCTTGGCCTTCTAATTAAAGCAGGTATGAGGGTGCACATGTGAGTTCTTATATAAAAACTGCATTTTGTGAAACTCTAGATGCCTAATGTCTCTAAAATTGAAATAATTTTCAATTATTCTGGCTATATACTGTATATCTTAAAATATTGATAGCATTTTAAAAGACAGTTTTAGAATAGCAGCATAATGGCTGGATCTAGGCATTTCTTTTATGGCTTTACAGGATACTGCATCTACGCTCCTGACCAAAAAAAATGCATTGCATTGTTGTTCGGAAGTATTAAATTATCTAATGAAGCCCTGAATTTTTTTGAGCCAGTAAAATGAAAGCAGAGAGGGGAAGAATTCTGTGAGCTACTAAAACTTTCAGTACCTTTTCATGAACTGTCTTTGCCCTTCCCTCCTAAGGATGTAGTGTAATATTGCTACACTGCATTATTTAGAATTAACTGGTTAAGGAAGATTGCTGCCATATCATGGTAACGACAGCAAAAACTGTTATGGCAGTTTTAAGGCTGACACATCTACAGTGATACAAGTTGCCTGACCCAAGTTCACTTTTAACAACTGTTTCTGTGTTATCTTGGCACCCTCTCTGACCCATAGTGACATTCCCATCTTCTTCTCTTCCAAATCTCTGAAGACACTGCTATATTAACATATTTTCATTTGTATTAGATCCATTTGATATTTAAGTTTAATACCATCTCAAGTTTGTCCATGACTGCATATTTAGCAGCGGGTAGGGGAAAGCATGGGTTCCTCATGAGTAAATTAGTCTAATCTAAGTTCTTGTGCTTGACTGTGGCCGTTCAACTTCCAGATAACTGAAAGGCAGCAGGTTGCTTAACTTAAAAAAAGGATTATTATTATTAAATTGTCTCAAAATGTACGTTCAGTATTATAAAATAATAGCCTATGTGCCTTGTGCCATGTATATTGATCCTTTATATCCAACAGACCATTCAAATATTAATGGCTGCCAAGATTATAAGAAATAAAACCCTGTTTTGAAGAAAATCATTAGTGATTTTGAATAATATTAAACTTTACCTATGCCCTGGTTATAATTTCTTATTTAAATAATATATAATAATAAATAATAATCTCAATAATAAGAAAAAGTATTCCATTTAAATTCACTAGCTGTCTGGATAAAAGTTTCTGAAAATTTTATTTTTGCAAAGCAAGTCACTAGAAAGTGCTTTGATTCAGGATGCCAGCATGGCCAGAAATAATGTTACTTAACTTTATTAATTACATTAAATCAGAGAGTTGGGCTGCTTGATTTGAAATGCTAGTGACTTCATCTGCATGGAGCATAAGGCAGAATGCTTTCCTGCCTAGTTTTGCCAGTATCCAATATACCCTTACTTTAAAAGCATGAATATTTGTGAAGCCACATATTTATATGTGCTGACTATTCTGAACATAGAATTTTATAAAATCAAATGACATTGAATATACATGAAATATGAGGAATTTCTGCTAGCATTACTTTATTTAGAAATAAGCCCATTTGAGTTCAATGGCACTCCTAGGTAAGTGTTATAGAATTACAGCCTAAATGGTTTTCATCAGATACGCAACTATTCTGTTTGATGTAATCAAACAGTCCAAAACAGAATAATGAATTAACACAATGATTTCTAATACCTATTACTTCTTCACCTAATGGCGACTTTCTAAATGCTAATTATAGGAAATTCAATCCACTTCTACTTTTCTGTTTTTTATATAGTAGAGGACTCAGCTGACAGAATAGGGGAGCCATTCTATACAGTCCTCCATTCTCTTTCATCCCTTAGGAAACTCTAAAAGATGGGAAGATTGTGAATTGCTGAAAATATGGCTAAATACTAATACCGAGTCTGCAATTCACTTGCCTCGCAGAAAGTTCTCTTTAATTCAGTAGGATTTACTTCTGAATAAACACATATTTTTCTGTTCATAGTATAAAAGCAGTTAAATTATAGTGCATTGTTTTCTAATAAGTGCTGTAAAACACAGAACGATATTTAAAATACCTCATTAATAATGACAAAAGAATATTGCTTCATTACAACATTGATGTATTAATAAAAGGTTAAAAAAAAACACCTACCTTGCAAATTTGTCAAGTCCCTTAAAAAATTGTTCCACCTAAGAAAATGATTTCCACCTTGATAATTTATAAAAGATTAAGCTTATAAAATTAACAGTAAATATTTTAAAGGGGTTAAAAATCCCTTTAAAGGTCCTTTTCTTCCTGGCACCCTGGGTAATACTTGAATAAACTCCTTCTGTGGGTTAGTCTATCTGAGCACTGAAGAATAACACTAAGAAAACTTGTTATTGCTCATGTGTTTTTCATCACTGCCTGTATCTGAGCCAAAACTTCTAGCTAACTCTAGACGTCTAAGCCCAAGATGTGGTTAAATTTGAACCTTAATAATGGATGGCACAAAGCCAGTGCAAACCCTGGATGGTTCATTGAAGTCTGTTGTACCTTATGAAACAAAATATAACATACAATTTCTGCTACGGCATTTTGAAATTTGCTGTTCATCCAAAGCAATCTAACAGCTAATCCTAACACTGATATTGCTTAAGTGACTAGCTAGTGGCAATTCCTAGTTGACCTTGGCTGATCTCTAAAAGCTAAGCAGGGTCATATGTAGTTGGTAGTTGGACAGCAACCACCAGCTAATCCAAGGCTGTAGAAGCTGAGAAACAATCCAAGAAAGCAGTGAGAAATTGTTTCCATATGGCTGCCAGAAAACTACTTGAAGAAATTTTTATTTTCTTTAAGAAGTGTGTCTGAAAATTTTTAAATGAATGAATTATGAATGATTCATATGCACTAGAAACAACAGGATAGAAAAGTTTGTTTAATAACAGGAAAAAAAACATAAAAATTTCTTTTAAAATCTCTGGTAAGGAGATTGTGGTTGTCAAATAGGGACAGAATGCCCACTGGGGTGCATAACAATTTTTCAGAAATACCTTTCCAAAAATACAACTAAATTTATTGTTTAAATATGAATGGCAAGAACTTCACCTTACATTTTTAGACAACACAAAAGAATTTAGGATATCCACATTAATGTTTTATATGAAACGGCATATATGATTCCTTTATCCTGATTATTTTAGCTATGCCATCCATTTGATTAAAAACATGTAGGCTTAGATCTCATGATCTAGTCAGTTAATGCATTGAGGGGATTTTTTTCAGAACCATAAAGCCTGATCTCATGGCAAAAAAAGTTTGTGACATAACCGCCATTGCTATTATTTAAAAAAATATGTACATGCTTTGGGCTTCCCAGTGCATTGAGACCAAGAATGAAAGGAAATGCAGAGAGAAGCAAAGAAAAGCAGTAGTTGGCTCTAGTCTATGTTGTATATGTTCATTCTCTGAAGATATATTGAAACATTTTATTCCAGGTAGGGTTGTTCAAGAACATTGATCTGTCTGCATAATAGAATATGATTTTTTGAGTAACATGTTATAATAATAATAATAATAATAATAATAATAATAATAATAATAATAATAATAATAATAATAATAATAATAATAATAATAATAATAAAAAAAAAAAGTTGGAAGGGACCTTGGATGTCATCGAGTCCAACCCCCTGCCCAGGCAGGAACCCTACACCATTTCAGATCATAAGATAGTTATCCTTTAGCTTTTTATTCTAGATTTTGTAATGCACTTATGAGATTAAATAAGGTATCGTTAAATTAAAATATATATCTTAGGATACATTAAAATTTTGTACTTGGGAAATAATCCATTAAATAAGTAAATTGAGAGGAAATACCTAAAATGTGTTTTTAAATAACTTTAATGTAAATATTTAAATTTCACAGATTAAGCAGGGTACAAGAGACTTATGAAGAAAGAATGCCACATTAAAATCCAAGTTTGCTTCTATAAGGATAAGTTAATGTCTCTTTCAAGTCATGTTTACTTCCTGATAACTTTCTAGGTCAATCGTGGCGAACCTATGGCACGGGTGCCAGAGGTGGCACTCAGAGCCCTCTCTGTGGGCACGCGCGCCATCACCTCAGTCCTAGGCCTTCAGCTGGGTTTTATAAAAACTTTTTGCTTTAGGCCTCCGCCGCGTGCAAAAAAAAAAGGTTCAATCAGTCAATTTCAACTTCTCGTGGGAAAAAAAAGATCTTGCAAAGTTGGAATTGATTGATTGAACTTTTTAGTCCCAACCAGTCTGCCGTTACCATCGCAGCCATGCCCACGCAATGGGCCACACCCAGCCAATGGGCCACATCCAGCCAATGGGCCACACCCACCCAGCACTCGACGATGCATAAGTGGGTTTTGGGTTGCAGTTTCAGCACTCAGTTTCTAAAAGGTTCGCCATCACTGTTCTAGGTACTCTCCTGACATTTCTTGGAAGAATATGGAAATAAATTGCCATTATCCTCTTTTAAGATGCCTTTTCAACTTCTTAATCTAACTGTACTCTGTTACTTCCTGTCTATCTCCTTTATAAGTATCAACCTGCTTATCTTTGGGGCAGCTACAAGAGTCTAGATTCTAAAGATGCAATTTAAGCTAATGTCAGAACATCAACACCACTTTAAAATATTTGATTTCTAAAATTTGGGAAGACCTATTAAATATATGTGTCTTGGTTTATCAAACTGATTTATTAAAGAAAAGAACTGCTTTTTGAGGGATCTATAATGTAAACAATCTATATGTCAAAGCTGGCCTTCAAGCTTATAAGAAGGAGCCTGAAGATCCAGTGCTCAATCCTGCCTTCATATATAGAACTATGCAAACCTGTCTTTGTACAAAAATACCAATAGATTTTGTAATCATAGTCAAGAGACTCTTTAGTATTTTTATTCCTTTTCTTTAAACCCTCAAATTATATTAGCATATCTATTTATTAAGACATGCTTCTGTGTAAACACCCTACAAAACATTTTTTCAATTGTTTTTAAATGTATTATAACTTGAAAGCCAATAGAAAGAGGCCAAATGCTTTAATACATGACATAGTTTTTTAGCAATTTGCTTTGGCTTTAGTTCAGTCTAACTTCTTTTATTCAATAGTACATTATTATTTTGCATGATTATGGAGTATTACTTTCAGCTCTGTGGTGTTTTGTTTTGTTTTTTTTTTAGAAATGTTTTAATTTTCTATTTTCACAAACAAGTGCTCAATAGACAATGTGATGACTTGAGTCCATTAGTAATTCGGTGATACATATAAGTTTTTCCAATTAAGTTCAATGTTACACCCGCTCGTACATCCTCTCTTCTTCTGGTAATAACATTTTTTCTGCATTAAGCAAATACAATTCTTATTATTGTTAGTAAACATACAATTGCATATCAACATTTGTTACATTTTCCTAATAATATCAATAATATCAGTTTCAAATATATTTCCTAGCCAAAACATATCTTATTTGCATTCAATTTCCATTTATTTAATCCATATCCTATTTTTGCTTTTTTTCAATTTTAGTTTCCCATCCATGTTCAAAGTGTCCCAATCATTTTTAATTTCTAAACAAGTTGTATTTGAGCAACCAAAAGAATCCTTTATTCAAAGTTCTTAACATATTCTTATTTCCCTTTTCATACCAAGATATAATATTCTGATTACAAATCCTAGCTATCTAGTTATAATAATGCTTCTATTTCTAACAATTTATTCTTAACCATATTTAAACCTCTAATCAATAATATAGCACCCCCTCTAATAGGTCAAAGCTTCTGTCTCCTTCAATCTTACTCTAGCCTTCTTTCTTTGCCAATTAACTTTCCAGGTCAGTGCATTTGGATCATCAAATAATTCTTCCTTTATTTTTATATATATTATTTGGAACAAGAGAAACAATTTGGTTGAAATATTTTTGGAAGAGCTAGCCAGTTGATATTCATTAAACTGCCTCCCTCCTTTTCTGGTTCCCCACAGTTCTATTAACGACTTTATCTTCCATTCCATCAGTTCTTTTTCCTTGTCATCCAGTATGTTCTGAAATCTTGGTTTATAAAATGTCTTTTCCGTTTCCAATATTATTGTTATATCTTCTGAGTTTTCATTTATCTGAGTCTGGTCATTTGTTTCCTCCTTTAGCTCATCAATGTTTATGTCAGCATTCTCTAGTTTTCCTTCTATTTTCTGGGTTGCTGGTTCCTTCTCTGTAGTTGTCTTCTGAGTTTGTAGATTTGAATTAGAAAATTGTTCTTTTATCTCCTTTGTGTTCTTAGTAACCTGCTCACAAGCTAGAATAATTGTTTTTTGTATTAATTTCAGCATGGAGACAATTTCTTTCTGTGTTTCATCAGTATTTTCTTGATGATAGGGCAAGTTAAGGCTGCTAGGAACAGATGTTAAAGATGTTTTACTATTTAACGCTGAATATAAAACATCCTTTTTTAAAATAAGTAGCCTTTATAGATTATCCAACTGATTGTTCGTTCCTGAATCTCCCCTAAGCAGATTTAAGTAAAGCTCAAGTTTTTCTGTCCAATAAAAAATATATCCTTTCTGTCCAGGGAGAAAGAAGAATCTTTGAGGGTTCTTTAACAATCAAGATTTATAATCCAAAGTGTTCCATATATTTCTTCTACAAAAAAAAAATCCACAATGCAGTTCTGAAAGTCAGTATTTATGTTCAAAATTCAGACAGGCCAAATTTAAAATGTTTATTCTCTCTGCCACTTAGATAAGCAGCCCCCAAGCCTGTTCCTTTTTTCTCAACTGTAATTCTCAATAATAAAATAGTTCCAAGCCCAGCCAAAATCTTATCTAATTCTGGGCTTCAAGCCAGGTTTCTTTTAGGCATAAATAAGTTATAGTGCCATAGTTCACCACTAGATGTCATCAATGCCACTTTCCAGTTTTTAGATCCAAAACTTATATTGTTAAACTTTTCAAGTCTTTTTCTTAAAATAAATAAATAAATAAAAAGGTTTTAAAAACAGTTTTGGTCCCCAAATTTTCAAGCTGTAAGTATATTTTAATTCCAGATAAGTCTTATAGGTCGCCAGTGTCCCCAAGTATTAATTCACTGCTTTTCTTTTATGAAGGAGTGGGGTGGAAATTCCCTTTCCCTCTTTCATTGGGGGGGGGAGTGCTTTG